ATATAGCATGAGGGGACCAATCAGAGGGAGACACGTTGCTACAGGCGACCAATGGCTGAAAGGCTGGGGTACTGTGCACGTGGCTCTAGGAGTTCGTTCAGGCGGGCGTTGCTACTTCCTGGTGTGCCGAGGAAGCATGTCATGGTGGAGTGTGCTCACACCATTGCATCAGCCGCAGCGCTGAGACATACTTCCCGAGCTCTACGTACAACCAATGGCATATTTCAAAGGTCTAGAACAGCCGTGGGCAAACTATGGCTCACGGGCCGGATCCGGCCCATTTGAAATGAATAAAACTATTGAAAAAAAAAGACCCTACCCTTTTATGTAATGATGTTTACTTTTAATTTATATTAGTTTACACAAACACTCCATCCATGCTTTTGTTCCGGCCCTCTGGTCCAGTTTAAGAACCCATTGTGGCCCTCGAGTCAAAAAGTTTGCCCACCCCTGGTCTAGAACAAACTCTCCAAAATTTCATCTGGAATCAAAAAAGACCCCAAAGAGCCACAGCAATCCTGAGAAAGAAGAACAAAGTAGGAGGGATCACATTACCAGATATCAAGCTATATTACCAAACCACAGTTCTCAAAACTGTCTGGTACTGGAACAAGAACAGACATATAGACCAATGAAACAGAACAGAGAACCCAGAAATTGACCCAAGCCATTATGCTCAATTAATATTTGACAAAGGAGGCAATAGCATACAATGGAGTCAAAACACTCTCTTTAATAAATGGTGCTGGAAAATTTGGACAGATAGATGCAAAAAATGGAACTAGATCACCAACTTACACCATACAGAAAAATAAACTCAAAATGGTTAAAGGCCTTGAATGTAAGACAGGAAGCCATAAAAATCCTACAAGACTCCATAGGCAGCAAAATAGCAGACATATGTTGTAGCAATATCTTTACAGACACAGCTCCTAGGGCAATGGAGACTAAGGAGAAAATAAACAAAAGGGACTACATCAAAAAAACAACAACAGCAACAAAAACTTCTGCACAGCAAAAGAAACCATCAACAAAATAACAAGAAAGCCCACTACATGGGAGAGCATATTTGCCAATGATATTGCTGATAAGCATTTAATCTGCAAAATGTACATAGAACTCATACAACTTAACAAAAGTAGGATAAATGATCAAATCAAAAAATGGGCAAGGGATCTTAATAGACACTTTTCAAAAGAGGACATACAGAAGGCCCATAGACCTAAGAAAACATGCTCAAAGTCACTAAACATCTGAGAGATGCAAATCAAAACAACAACAAGATACAATCTCACACCTGTCAGAATGGCTATCATCAACAAATTAACAAAGGACAAGTGCTGTCCAGAATGAGGAGAAAAAGAAACTCTCCTGCACTGCTGATGGGAATGCAGACTGGTGCAGCCACTGTGGAAAACAGTATGGAGTGGCCTCAAAAAGTTACAAATGGAACTTCCATTTGACCCAGTAATCCCACTTCCAGTACTGTATCCCAAGAAACCAGAAACACCAGTCAGAAAGGATATATGTACCCCCTATGTTCATAGCAGCACAATTTACAATAGCTAAGATTTGGAAACAACCTAAGTGCCCATCAGCAGATGAGTGGATTAAAAATTGGTACATTGCTGAAGCTTCGGGATGCCCATCGCCAATGATGCCACCCACTAGCCAGATCAACAAGGACAACCAAACCACAGACTTGAGGACAGCTGAAATCCCTTGACTGAAGAGGCCAGCAACCTTCTACAGGAACAAGGCTCCATGTGCACTCCATCCACTATGTTTATAGCTATGCTCGCTGTCATTGCTTGTCAGTCTTCTTCTGAGTCTTAAACAACCCAATCCAAGAGGTGGCTGCTGATTTACATGCGCTATCATTTAAAAAATAAAAAGGGGGGAATTTGCCGGAAGCCGGTCCATCCTTGCTGCTTGACACAGTCGCTTCAGGGAAGAAACATCTGCACAGCATATGTTGCAAGGGACCTGGCGTATATGGCATACTGTTCTTTTATTTATTTATTTATTTATTTATTTATTTATTTATTTAATCTTTATTGTTCAGATTATTACATTTGTTCCTCTTTTTTTCCCCCCATAAATCCCCTCCACCCAGTTTCCACACCACCTTCCTCCCTCACTCCCCATCCACTGTCCTCATCCATAGGTGCAAGATTTTTGTCCAGTCTCTTCCCGCCTCCCCCTCACCCCTTTCCCCCCCCCCCCCAGGAATAGTCAGTCCATTCCCTTTCTATGTCCCTGATTCTATTATAATCACCAGTTCATTCTGTTCATCAGATTATTTATTCACTTGATTCTTAGATTCACTTGTTGATAGATGCCTATTTGTTGTTCATAATTTGTATCTTTACCTTTTTCTTCTTCTTCCTCTTCTTAAAGGATACCTTTCAGCATTTCATATAATACTGGTTTGGTGGTGATGAACTCCTTTAGCTTTTCCTTATCTGTGAAGCTCTTTATCTGACCTTCAATTCTGAATGATAGCTTTGCTGGATAAAGTAGTCCTGGTTGTAGGTTCTTGGCATTCATCACTTTGAATATTTCTTGCCACTCCCTTCTGGCCTGCAAAGTTTATGTTGAGAAATCAGCTGACAGTTGTATGGGTACTCCCTTGTAGGTAACTGACTGTCTTTCTTTTGCTGCTTTTAAGATTCTCTCTTTGTCTTTTGCTCTTGGCATTTTAATTATAATGTGTCTTGGTGTGGTCCTCTTTGGATTCCTTTTGTTTGGGGTTCTCTGCACTTCCTGGACTTGTAAGTCTATTTCTTTCACCAGGTAGTGGAAGTTTTCTGTCATTATTTCTTCAAATAGGTTTTTAATATCTTGCTCTCTCTCTTCTTCTGGCACCCCTATAATTCAAATGTTGGTACGCTTGAAGCTGTCCTAGAGGCTCCTTACACTATCTTCGTATTTTTGGATTCCTTTTTCATTTTGCTTTTCTGGTTGGGTGTTTTTTGCTTCTTCTTATTTCAAATCTTTGACTTGATTCTTGCAATCCTCTGGTCTGCTGTTGGGAGTCTGTATAATATTCTTTATTTCAGTCAGTGTATGCTTAATTTCTAGTTGGTCCTTTATCACAACATCGAGGGTCTCATTAGATTTCTTGTAGATCTCATTAAATTTATCGGCAGTTTCTAGAAAATTCTTGAAGAACCTTAAAAGTGTGGTTTTGAACTCTATATCCAGTAGTTTGCTTTCCTCCATTTCTGTCATTTATGTCCTTTTTCTTTGTCTCCGCATTTTTTATGCTTCCCTGTGTTGATAAAGTGGTTTTCTGTGCTGTGTGTCCTCTAGGGCCCAGTGGTTCAGCCTCCCCAATTACCTGCGGAGGACACTCTTGGTGCACCCCCTTATGGGCTTTGTGCACAGTCTTGTTGTAGTTAAGCCTTGATTGTTGTAGTTATCACTGGGAGGAATTGACCTCCAGGCCAATTGGCTGTGAAAATCAGCTGTTTCTGCAGTGGGAGAACTTCTGTGCTGGAGACATCCCTCTGGGGCAAGACTTGCTTCAATGGGGCTTTGGTGCTCACTGAGTCTGCCCCCTGAGTGTGTCCTTTCAGGTTCCATGGATCTGCAAACTGGATGGTCCCACTCTGACCTCTGGGTTTCCTGGCTCCTGGATCTCTAGGGAGGTGCTAATGTAGCCTTTTCCTGAGGCTATCCAGCAAAAGCCTCCCTGCAGGGCTTAGGTGGGGTGGGTCCCACGGGATCAACAGGGCGGGTCTAGCAGTTATGGCTGCTCTCAGTCCTACTCTCAGAGGCTCTGCTTCTCAGTGTCCTGGTAATCGCTGTAAGCCCCTCGGAGAGAAAGCTGCCCTCGAATTCCGACAGTTGCCAGACAGTCCTGCCTCTCCCATGTGAGTCTGGGTCCCTAGAGACTTGCCCGGAACTGGAGCTCAGAGCTTGAGACTCCCTCCTGATTGAAAACGACAACCACGCCCTAGCCGATAGCCTGCTCCGCATGCACCTCCTCATCTTAGCATTTTACTTCCTCACTGCGCCTCCTCTGAGTCTCGGTAAGCTTTTCTCTTTCCTTCTAGTTGTGGAATTTCCACTCAGCCAGCCCTCCTGTGGTTCTGGATGATGTCCGTTCAGTCTTTTAGTTGTATTTTTGAAGTGGTTGTGTGAGGCAGCAAACTCCGGTGTTTACCTATGCCGCCATCTTGTTTGCTCCCCTTCTTGGCGCTATGTGTTTTAACCAAGGTCACCTCTCCAAGAAAGGTTGTTTCCCCAGGTAGGGATTTTTCCCTGAAGTTAGGGATGGAATAAAACCCCTTAACTAAGTGTCAGGCAGGTAGTTAATCACTTTAACTACAAACAATCACGCTTAAACTACATAATCTTTACTCCCTGGAATGGAGATAAGAAACGCCCTAATCTTTGAAATAGAAATTGATAGGATTAAAATCAACTGGTATAAATACAGATGTAACAAGACAATAAAAGACAGAACCTGGTGGAGATCCTGGCTAGAACCTGGCTAGTGAACCTGGCTAGGCTGTTGATCAACTGAATGCTGTCTCCTTGTCATTCCTTTTTCACAGACTTCGTCCACACCTTTGAGAACCCCTGGACCTGATATCTATTTGTCATTCTTTCTTTGATAGTTGAGGCCAATGATCAATTTTCCTAATTGACTAATTCCTTTAGAGTTGCAAAATAGATCTTAGTTTTGATTGCAAACATCTTCTTAGATAGTGTCATGATAAATGGTTTTGTTTACCTGATGTTAATGCTGCTTGAACTGTCCTTTAAATGGAAACATCATTTTGTCCACAGAAACCACATATGACTTGGATTGCGCTTGGTTTTTAACCAGGAGCACTCTACATCCCTGTGCAAAGTGGTGTTAAATACAGAAGAGGGCGACAAGAAGACTGGATAACAGCTGGTGTCTGGAACTCTTCTTTGAAACTCCTAGTGCCTTCCACAGGGAGGGAGGCTGGAGCAGACCTCAGCTTCTCACTTTTCCTCCCTCCTGGAGAATCACACTGACTGAAGAGACTGTCTTGGGTCAGACACCCTCTCTACACAATGGCCTTTGGAGCCGCCCTGGCCAAGCTCCAGGCAGAGGCCCGCTGTCCCATCTGCCTGGATTACCTGAGAGACCCAGTGACCACTGAGTGTGGGCACAACTTCTGTTCCTCCTGCATCCACCAGTGCTGGGAAGGTCTACAGGGCACCTTTCCCTGTCCTGTCTGTTTCCACCACTGCCCTGACAGGAGCTTGAAGAGGAACACCCAATTATGTCACATGACTGAGATTGTTCAGCAGATTCCCGCCATGAGGGGAAAGAGGAAAAGGCAAGAGGAAACCCTGTGTAAGAAGCACCGTGAGGATCTGGCCCTGTTCTGTGAGAAGGACCTGGAGCTGTTGTGTGCCCAGTGCAGGGTCTCCTCTGATCACAGGGATCACCCCCTGATGCCCATTGAAGAAGCTGCAGCTACTCACAGGAGGAAGCTCAAGAGCTATATTGAGTCATTGAGTGAGCAGATTGAAGATACTGAAAATCGGTCAGAAATGCAAGTGTCGAAATGTTTTGAATTGAGACAGAGGATCGAACATCAAAAGGATGAATTACACTCTGAAGTTAAACAACTTAAACATTTTTTGGAAAAGGAACAGAATACAATGCTTATCAGTTTGCTAACTGAAAAAACATATGTTGAAGAAAAATTAATGGAAGAGACAAACCAAATATCAAACCACAGCTCCATATTAACCAGTCTGCTTGGAGATATTATCAGTAAGTGTTTGCAGACAGACGTGGATTTACTCACTGGTATTGAAAGTATCCACAACAGATATAATAACCTAGAGACCCCGGCCACCTTTTTATATGAATTAAAGGAAGAGAGTTGCTCTCTCCCCCCCCCCCCCCACATTATTTGGGCCTGTATAAAATGATCCACACATTTCAGGCAGATTTGACACTGGATCCTGAAACAGCCCATCCAAGTCTCATTATCTCAAGAGATAGAAAAAGTGTGACCTATAGGCCATCATTTGGTCTTCATAATCCCCAGGCACGCACTTCTTACCCAGCTGTCCTGAGTTCTGAGGGATTTGATGTTGGCAGGCATTTTTGGCAGGTAGAAGTGAGAGGCACAGGGGCATGGTCCTTAGGCGTGTGTAAGGAATCTTTCCCCAGGAATGCTCCTATGCTACCAACCCCAAGAAATGGCTGCTGGCAGTTTCAGTTCTGGGCTAATACATCTGTCACATGCCATTCAGGGAACTGGGAATGGATAGGCATTTTTCTGGACTATGAGTTGGGAGAAGTTTCATTTTATAATTTGAGAAATATATCACATTTGTATACTTTCAGTGGAAGTTTTACAGAAAAACTTATGCCCTATTTCTGCCTAGGACCTTCTTCAAAATCACTTGTAATGCGTATAGTCAAAGATGAATGATGAACCGCTTTGTAATCTGTTTGATGCGTTCTACTCTTTTCCTGTGTTAATAGAGAGTGCTTGTAATAAAAGACCCAAGTACAAAAAAATAAAAATTAAAAATAAAAATAAAAATAAAAAACTGCGCCAAAACCGGTTTGGCTCAGTGGATGGAGCGTCGGCCTGCGGACTGAAGGGTCCCAGGTTCGATTCCGGTCAAGGGCATGTACCTGGGTTGCGGGCACATCCCCAGTGGGAGATGTGCAGGAGGCAGCTGATTGATGTTTCTCTCTCATCGATGTTTCTAACTCTCTATCTCTCTCCCTTCCTCTCTGTAAAAAATCAATAAAATATATTTAAAAAAATAAATAAATAAAAATAAATAAAAAACTGGTACATCTACACAATGAAATACTATGCTGCTATAAAAAAGAAGGAACTTTTACCATTTGCAACACCATGGATGGAACTGGAGAGCATTATGCTAAGAAAAATAAGCCAGTCAGAGAAAGATAAATATCACATGATCTCACTCATATGTAGGATATAATGATCAACATAATTTGATGAACAAGAATAGATTCAGAGACAAATGGTAGTGGATGGGGGGTTAGAGAGCAACCAAAGGACTTGTATGTACGCATATTAGCTTAAGCCAGGGGTCCTCAAAGTACAGCCTTCGGGCCACATGCAAATACAAATATTGTATTTGTTCCCGTTTTGTTTTTTTACTTCAAAATAAGATATGTGCAGTGTGCATAGGAATTTGTTCATAGTTTTATTTTAAACTATAGTCCAGCCCTCCAACGGTCTGAGGGACAGTGAACTGGCCCCCTGTTTAAAAAGTTTGAGGACCCTTGGCTTAAGCAATGGACACAGACCCTGGGGCCATGGAGACTTGCCTGGGGTGGGAATGGCTTGGGGGGGGGGGTGTCAATTGGAGGAAAAGGAGACATATGTAAAACTTTAGACAATAAAAATATTAAAAAGACACTATTCATTTTCCTTGAATAACTAATAAACTAGTGGCATGAGAGGATAATCCCATATGAGTTAAAGAATGAATTAAGTTGCTTTCTGCTTAGACAGACACAAAATATTAACTGCACTAAAAATTAAGAAAAATGCCAAATTTGAGTAAAACCAAAATGAATGTTAAATGCAGAGCAAATAATATGTTATACAGGGATTAGAGTATATATGTATGAAAGTTAAAAGTTGAATAAACTAAAGAATGTTAATAATGTGTGGAACTTACAAACAAGTAGAGAAACAAATTAAAATATTGAGATGCCACTGCAAAGAAAAAAGGGAAAAAGAGTGCTGTATATGATAGGCATGAAAATACTAATAAGAGCCTCATATTAACAATGCTCTACCTGGCTAAACTGAATGATCTTTGTGTGCATGGAAATTTCCCCCATTATCAATCTTTGAAACAGAATTTTTGGACTGGAACACGCAGTGTTCCCCTGGGCAGATTGGTTCCTGGGCTCTTTGTCCATAGGAGTCAAAGAATGAATCCAGGAACAGAAGATGGTATAGCTAAGGTAGAAATTTATTGAGAAACAAGTACAGACTCCCACGTGGGGAGGGAGAGTCTCCCAGCACAGACTCCCACAAGGGAAGGAGGAAGAGTCCCACTGAGTTCCTTTGCCCTACTGTTTATAAAGGCTGCAGATCCTTGTGCCTTGATATCCCCTCTGATTGGTCACTCTTCCCTTGGACTGGTTATTATAGTAACTTCTGAGCTCAAAGGTCAAACTTCACATTTCCTCCACTCCTTCCTTATTGTTTTCCTATTCCCTTTGGGCCTTCTTCTTCTCCTTCTGAATGAGGGGCTTCCTTCCCTTTATTTTGTGAATATAGACCTTCTGCTGTTTCTAGGCCCCCTATTCTATGGAAATGTACCTGTTGCAGCTTTTCAGCTCCCCTATTATATGGAAATATACCTTCTACTACTTTGCTGCCCTATACTTTTTTCATGGTCCCCTTAATTTCTAAAATTTCCTAAATTTGTCTATTTCACCCCCAAAACTCCTGTTTCATCTTTATTTCTAAAAGTAGGAGATAAACAACCCTAATTCCCAGACCCTCCCACGGGGAAGCATGTTGAGAAAGGCCAGGAAGCCAGGATGAGTTGAATAGGGAAACTGAGACAGATATTTAAACAGCAATGGCAGCCATCTAGAAAATCTAGATGCCAAGCATGGGCAGTCATTTAGTAAATCCCATCTTTCCTAAATCCCAGACACTTAAGAGCAAATGGTTTGCAATTCTCCTCCCCAACCAGAGGGTCAGTTGCTTAAATCACCCTATTCAGGAACAGACAGCAGAAATCCAGTTAGTGCCATTTGCCAACCACACCCAAGGGCATATGAAGGTAAGAGAATAAACCTTATTTTGGTACATCAGCATGAAGCTGGTGAATGTTATATTGAGTACCTCCCTAAAACCTCCCCTAAATGTCCAGCCTTTAAAACAAAGGTCCAGCTTCCCTCCCAGGAGCATGCCTGTGCCCCCCCCACCCCCACCCCATCCCCATCTCTCCCTACAGGCAGGCATCTCCTCAACTCTAAGGGACCCCACAAGACTTGCAACTAAGGCAGCAATGGGTAGTAGCAGTTCATCCAGAGAAACTCCCTGAACCTGACCCCTAGGCCCCCATTTCTCTGACTTCTTAGTGAGCCAAAACAGCCTAGCCTAGGCTCATTGCCCCAGCCCTTTCTTGGTCACTTCCCAGCTCTAGTAAACATCCTCTAAAATTCACTTGGACTCATGTTGTGAAACTTTTCCTGCACGAACTCAAGAACCCTCACACCACCCACTACCACCCGGTGCTAGGCAGACCCTCTCAGGGCCAGGTCCCCTTTCTGGTAACAATGTGACTGACTTACATTCTGCCAAGCAGACTCACCACTGTGGGACTCAGATGCAGATGTGAGCCAAGCAGAGATGCTTTTTCATGGGGCAGTTGTTTTCTTGCAAATATGAAGGTGGGTGTTAATGTAAAATACATTCAAACCTGTAAAGAGTTTTTGTGAGTTTATTTGAGCCAAACTGTCGATAACTACCGGGAAGCAATATCTCAATGGATTCTGATCGTGCTCTGGAGAATGGTGGTCTTACATCTATTTTTATACATTGGAATCAAAGGAGGGATGTAGGTGTGTCACATTGAAATCAAAGGAGGGATGTAGATGTGTCACATGAAATCCATTGGTGATAGATTACAGAGGTGGGAGAAAGCAAAGCAGGGGTGGAGAGTGGAAAACTCTGGGATTGGATAAGAAGTAAAATGATAGACACATACTTAGGTGAGTGCAGGAACAATTAACATGATTACAATGAAGGAATTTGTGGTATCTGTCCTGGCACCCAGCACATTATGTTGTGCCCGAAGGGGTTCGGAAAAAGGGAAGTTGCAAGTTACCCAGACATTTTAAGGATATGTTATCATAGATGCAAAAAGACAGATAGTCTGAGTTAAGGTAAAGGTTGACCTCGTCAATGAAGATACTGGCCTAGGATGTAACTACCCACCAGAACTGCTTTTAGTTAAACTTTAATTTCAGACCATCCTTTGTGGTTACTGGAGGTCTCTGAGTTTGCAGGCCTTCCCTGAACTTGTCAGGTTAGCATGTGGCCCCTTTCGTCCACATAGGAGAGTCAGTTCCTCACAGCTGACATTTGTGGCACTTCTAGCATTTGATATGGAGACCACGTTGCAGGGCCCATGGTATTTTCTCTTGAGATGCCTTTATTGGATGTGTTGTATTGTTTCTTACTGAATAGCTTTGTAATCTGGCTATGTAATCTTCAGAAATAAACTCTCACCTGTAAGATCAAATGATCGCATCAAATCCCGGAAAATGGTGAAAGAACAACAAATCATATTGGGAAAATGGATTACCCATACACAAAAGCATTAAGTTGGACCCTTAAGCCACATATAAAAATTAACTCAAAATATATTAAAGTTCTAAACATAAGACTGAAAACTATAAAACTCCTAGAAGAAAACATATGGAAAAGCTTCATGACATTGGATTTGGCAATGATATTAGATATGAGACCAACAGCACAGGAAACAAGCAAAAGTCTATACTAATAAAAGGTAATATGCTAATTAGACCACGAGACCTTCCTGATGTCCTTCCAGACAAAGCCATGGTGGCGGGGCTGAGGCAGAGGTGGTTAGGGGCAATCAGGCCAAAACGGGAGGGCAGTTGGGGGTGATCAGGCTGGCAGGGGGACACAGTTGGGGGCAAGCAGGCCAGCAAGGGGGGTCAATTGGGGGTGAACAGGCCAGCCAGGGAGGGCAGTTGTGGGGCATGAGGCCAGCCAGGGAGGGCAGTTGGGGGCAATCAGGCCGGCGGGGGGGGGGGGGGCAGTTGGAGGCAAGGAGGCTGGGGGGGGGGCTGTTGGGGGCAAAAAGGCTGGCGGGGAGGCTGTTGGGGCAATCAGGTCTGCAGTTGGGGGCGAGAAGGCCAGCAGGGGGGCAGTTGGGGGCAAGCAGACCAGCAGGCAGAGTGATTAGGGGCGATCAGGCAGGCAAGTAAGTGTGCAGTTAGGAGCCAGCAGTCCTGGATTGTGAGAGGGATGTATGACTGCTGGTTTAGGCCCGATGCAGTTGGATATCCCCCGAGAGGTCCCAGATTGGAGAGGGTGCAGGCCGGGCTGAGGGACAACCCCTGCCCCCCTGCACGAATTTCGTGCACTGGGCCACTAGAAGACAAATAAGACTAGATCAAATTTTAAAAATTCTGTGCATCAAAGGAAACTATCAACAGAGTCAAAAAGAAATTCACAGAATGAGAGAAAATATTTAAAAATTACACATCTGATACTCAGAATATATAAAGAACTCCTAAAATTCAAAACAACTCAGTTTAAAAATAGTCAAGGGAGTTAAATAGATATTTCTCCAAAGAAAATATACATATGAAAAGATGCTCAATATCATTAATTATTATAGAAATGCAAACCAAATATCACCTCACATCTATTAGTATGGCCGC